ATGAGGAACAGAGAAGGTGACGGGGGTCAACCAGTTTTTGCCATTAGCAGTGCCACAGTGTGTGTTGTTTGCATGTGCATGTGAGTGTATGAGAGGGCTGGTAGAGGAAGACCAGTCTTCCTGTCCTTGGATCCGGGATATCCGCTGCTGTGTCCACGCTCGACACTGTGATGTGCACAGGTCTGGCAATCTCATACCCGTGAGACAGAAAGAATGACACTCTCATTGCGTGTGGAGCCTGTTTTCAAACAGTTTCATGCAAGTCTACATCTGTTATATTATTTTGGTTCATTATCATTGTATAAGCAATATGTAGCGTTACTTCTTTTGGTCACTTTAGGCACTGACTTCATTGTTTTACTGTATGACTTAGTTGACTTATTGCTACATTTGAATTACTTTCCTGCTGAACTCGAGAGCAGCTGCAGCTTGTAGCTTTGACAAGATGGTATCAGGAAAGTGTTGGAGGGAAAAATAAACGAGCTGTGTGCTCGCCTCCCTCAGCATCAACTCTGAGGGAAGCACAGTGTCCAGTGGAGCCACTCAGTGGCCATAAGCAGACTGACAGAAGTGCAGCTGGCACATTTAAACGCTGGATCAGATCCTTCAGGACCACAAGACCTCATTGTTGCACAGATATGCCTTCAAAAGTGAAACAATTTTGTGAACTTGGAAAACTAAAATGAAAATAAAAAATATTATCCTTAGTTTCAGCATTTGTTAGTTTGGCTTGATAGCTAACACTTTTTAATTAATACTGAGTTTGACAGGAATGATAGTGGAATTTAGTAATTAATGGATAATGGATGGTGCATAGCGAGATTATTTGAATTTTTAGAAAATGGAAATTTTGATGTACTGGTTCTAGAAAAAAAGGGGGAATTGCATCACCAATAACACGAGGTTTTATTCTCCTGTAAAACTCATTTTTATTCAAATTAATAAAAGATTCAGACAGAAGCAAGTTGCATGCAGTTCAGTCTCACTTTCTTAGAAAACGATACCATATAAAATAAGTCGTGTTTTTAAATGCTTATAAACTTCTGTACCTCCACACTAGAATGGAGTTGGGTTGCAAAGCAGCTTGCCGAGCCATCTACAACTGTGGGCGGGCAAAGCTCTTTTTAAGATTTTCTCATAGAATGCAAATAGAGGCTGTAGCTTACCCATCAGGTAAAAGACATCCGCTCATATTGAGCTAATCTCAAAGAGAGCAGAGAGGGTTAGCCAGTTAAGACTGAAGAAGGTACTCGATGGGACTCCAAAAAAGAAATGAAACGTCGGAAAAAATCATTGTGGGATAATTTATCAAAACATTTTATTTTCTTGCACAACCATACAATATGTCACAGAAAAATCACAGAGGGATTTAAGACAGGTCTGGCTCAGGTTTTTTCTTCTATGTGAGTTCTTTTTCAAACAGTAAGTGCAGCATAAATCAAACAAGTCAAGAGGGGGAAAAAAGAAGCATTATTACACCCTCCAAATAATCCCAATAATGAAGACAAGACACGAAAAACCTCGACGCCATTAAAAGTCACATCCCTAAAAGTCTCTGCAAAAGTGTCAAGAGTTACAACTACTGCTAATGCTCATCATAAAATCACTAATGCCTCACAAGATTATGAATTTCATACAATGGAAAAAAAATGTTAAAAAAGATCTCGTATTTATCTGTTAGATACAGTACAAAGACATCATTCCATTTCTGTTACCAGTAAACTGTGTTGAAATGGTTCTGAGCACCAAATGGTTGGTTTGAGTTGTATCACTGACTTATGTTCATATATCATTATATGCTGTTTAATGAGGGGGCACTGAGGCAAGGAGGGGTCTAGCACCATGAAAATTAAACCACCCCCCTGATTGCACTTCCCCTATCAACACATTATGACCATACTACATTTTTAAAATACCTTGTAGCCCCTTGTCAAGTGACGTATCCTTTGATATGCAATAAATATATACGAAAACGACAATGTACAGTATAAATAATGTCACAATTTACAATTTTCCATTTTCTCTGTGATCCAAAAAACCGAAACTGACAACAAAAAAAAGAGGTATAAAAGCAGGAAAGATTTCCCATTGCAGTTATTTAAACTACAGTGAAACAAGATATTTTTAGGGTGTATTTTAATATAGCAACAACAGAAACAAATGACTAAGGTGGACAAGTCCGACCAAAGACGAGTTAAAATTTCTGATTGAGAACAAATCTACAGTCTTCTAGCAAACCTGAAAACAGATACATTATGTACATTGAATGGTGTGCACAGACTAATGAGGGGCAGAGGTATGATGTGGAAGATGTCATTCGTGGGCATTCTATTATAATGGTTATACGACAGTGAGGTTGAACCGCCATCCAAATTCATAAAAACAGACCCGAGCTTGTGGAGCGAGCACGAAAGACAACGGCAGGAAGAAAAGCTGCTGAATGTACTTGAAGCAGCGCTAGGCGCATACAGCATGGTAACCAGCTTCCCAGCGTCACACTACATTACAGAGCACGCGTGAGATTTTTAGCTTGTAGCTTAGAATTTTTTTTAAAAAGTATCTGTGACAAAATTAGTTGTGTTTATAAACAAAAAACAACATCATCATAGATTGCATTAATATGTGACTTAAAATCTCAACATGTGAAGCTACATCAACTTTGGCACATTTTGTAGCCAAGTAAAAGTGAACGCAAAATAAAAGTAGGTCATATGAACAATAAATGCGCCATTACTAATATAAGCAATAAAATGAATTAATGACAATGAAAATCATTTGATGTGCTGTTAAACAAAGAAATCTGGGTCTTTCCTGTCATATTTACATTCAGCCGCTCTTGAACATGCAATACTGTTCAAAAGTTTTGGTGCACTTTTTTTTTTTAGAATAAAAAAGTAATTTGTTTTTGGAAAAAAATTGAAATTACTTAGTAATCATTAGTTTAAATTAGACACATTGTAAATGATGATCAGTGACCACCGGAATCGTTAACTATACATCATTAGTAACTATTTTAATGGAGGGCTGTTTTCAGGAAGCATCGTGTGTTCCTGTGGTACACTGTTACCTGATACAAGTTTATTAAGTTAGAAGGCTAAGTGATCATGCTCGGAAGCTGCAGAATTGGCCTTTGTTTGACTGATTGCAGCTGCTTCATCAAGAAGGTTTATGTTCTAAATAATGAAGCTCTTCAAAAATATTTAATCAAACAGCGTATATGATAGCTTTCTCTGAACCAGCACAATCTGCTTATAACCAAGAGAAGTCGGAGGTCCTTGTGTGCAGCCAATAAAGTATCCAAGTACATCTGAGTCTCCAGTTTGAACAATAGATGCCACATGGCGTCTTCTCTGGCAGCTTCAACAGCGCCCATAAAATGCCTGTCTGAACATCTGCAGTAAAGAGGCGTCTAAGCAGTGTCACAAAGGAAAAAAGCCACAAGACGGGCAGAAGACCGAACAGCAAAATATGGCTTTTTCCTCACAACTTTGCTTGAAGACCAGAATCCTGGAGTCACCTCTTCACTGCCAACACTGAGACGGACGTTATGTAGCTGCTGTTCACTGAAGATGCCAGGTGAGGACCTGTGAGGTACCTGTTTCTCAAACCAGTCTTTAGTCAGTAATGGACCTTTCCTCTTCCTCAGCTGTGCACCAGCCTCTCCAAAATCTCTTTCCATTCTGATTAGAACTAGTTTGTCAATTTCTTTTTGGCTACAACTGAACGAGCCAAATTTACTGCTTCCGTTACTTCAAAAAACATTTTCACATGTACTCATTTAATTTACAAAAACACTCTTCTTTAGCCTTTTAGCACGATAAAGCTGTAACAGGAAACACCGCAGAACACAGAAGTGATGGTTCTCTTCGAAGCAATGACGACTTTGTCCATTAATCAGAAATTGTTTTGTAGCATGTGGCATGTCTGATCAGCACTATGCCTCATTAGACAAAAAACAAATATGCTTCTATTTCAGAAACAAAAAATCTTCCGAAACCAACCCAAACTTCTGAGCAGCAGCGCACCGAGCTGGACCCTTCAGGACTGACGATACTGACGCGGCCTGCAGTCTGACCTCACTGGTTTTTGCATTATAACATGATTGTGTGTCCCTCCGGACGTTTCACTTCACGAGCACTTCACTGACATAAACCCGAACGGCGACCCCTGCTCTCTCGCACCCCATCTATGCACACCACTGCGTATCCTATAAATTTATTCACAATTTACAATTATTTATCTTCTCTGTCATCTAGAAACAAGAATATTGAAACAAAAGAGGTATAAAACTGGGACTGTTTGCCCATTCCAATAATGAAAAAAGAGAAAAGAAAAAGACATCACAATGTCTTTTTTCCTCCATGTGTCATAGAACCACACCTAACACCATTTAGACCTGTGAAGAAGCCAAAAACAAATAAGACAAGTTCGTTTTTCTTTCTGCACACTTCATTTTCAAATAAGAACAAAACTGTTTTAGTCCTCTGCTAAACCCGTATTTTAGAGACACTGATAAAAATTTGTGTTTTTTTCTTTTTAATGCTTACATAAAACCTTTGTGTGTGTTTAATCTTCTAATTATCTCTCCTCTAAAGTTCACAAGGCCAATGTGGTGTACTTCTAGGCTGGTAAAACTTTTTTTAAGCATCTAACGAGCATAAATAAGATTGGAATAGCACCTCAGAGAGTTTACAGACAGGAGTTACAAATGTCAGAGCTTTTACCTGAATATGAAAAAAAACCCAAAAAAAAACCCCAACAACAAATAACCAGAAACAGAAACCAGTACAATGCCAAATGTGACAATCAGCTACTTCTCTTATGAAGCGTTTCCCCTGCTGGTACATTAGAATCACAGCAAATTCATGGACACATAGAATAACTAGATTGGTGTAAAAAAGTTCTACTGAATTTGCATAAAAGTACCTGAATCAATACACAGAACTGGCTACTTGACGCTTTTGAATCACAGCAGTGTCCGTTGAAAATACATCACCTGATTTTCAGTGCTAGCAGTGCTCACATTGTGTTTTTTTTCTCCTGTCCTTATCTAAAATGCTTCTTGTGAAAAGTACCAGTCTAGTCATTCTATTTCAAAACACATGTCCAATCAGCAGCTGGTATGGGGAAGACGGTGAGCTATATAGTTGGACTGGCTGAGTATCCATACCTTACAGTGTGATGTAAACAATACTGAGTAAACGTGATTGGCTGATTGAGACAGTGTTTGCAGGAACAGATTGCCTTGAAGGCAACATTTGTGCTGCCATTAGAGTTTTGGTTATGGCTGAAAGACACTGTGGAGGAGTCCTCACTTTGAGAAGGGAGTTGGAGTCTGAAGGATGAGGGGAGAAAAAAAAGAGGAAGAGAGACAGTTCAGCTGGGGGTTTGGAAAGAGCTGTTATCAAATACTCATTGCATTACTGCGGACTATTTTTCAAAGCAGACAACTAGTATCTGCAATAAGGATGTTGTTTATTTAAAAGCACCAGGACAGGGAACCTAGCAGACTCCCTTACTGCAGCAAGAAATCATAATGTGAACCCCAATTTTACAAAATGGCCAAAAGTAATATAAATTTTAGCCAAATAACACATGACTTATTTGATATGTATAATGGTAGATGAGAGCAGTTCTAGGGAAGGTTAACCAAAGCCAATAAAAAACAAAAAAAAGAGAAATCGAGAGAAATAAACTCTCATTCACACATTTCTAAAGGGAGAAACTCTAAAGGCTGGATTAACATAATAGCGTCACATCAGCCACCAGTAAACAGCACTTCATCCAACCCAGTGTGCTTTTTGAGAATGATGACTATTCTCTGTTTAAATGACAAATACATGATTTGGAAGCAAGATGATATCACTTTGTAAAGTGAAGCAATGTAGCTGTTTGGAAAAAAATAAAAGTTACAGGGAAATTCTGATTTTCTTCTTTGGTTGTGAACTTCACAAATTTGCTAGCTCAGCCTGTTAAAAAGAAAACGTAGGAAGGTAATTTCGCTAAAACAACACCATGAAAAAGTATTTGACCCCTTCCTGATTTCTTAGCTTTTTGCATATTTGTCACACTTACATGATTCAGATCATCAAACAAATGGTAATACTAGACTAAGATAATCTGAGTAAATACAGAATTTTATCTAGACCTACCAAGTGAAAATGTGAAAAAGTAAACCTGGTAACTTCTTGTGTCATCCTTGGCAGCAAGAACTGCAATTAAGCATTTGTGATAATTGGAAGTGAGTCTTTCACATCGCTGTGGAGGAATTGTGGCTCACTCTTCTTTAGAGAATTTGTTTTAAGTGAGCCACATTGGAGGGTTTTGGGGGGATTTAAATCTGGACTTTGGGCACTCCAAAAACCTTAATTCTGTTTTTTTGAACCATTTAGAGGACTTGCTGATGTGTTTTGAATCACTGACCTGCTGCATAAGCAAAGTGTGCTTAAATTTAAGGGCATGAACTAACGGCAGGACATCCTCATTCAGGATTTTCTGGTAGAGAACAGAACTGATGGTTGTACCAATTATGACAAGTCGCTCAGACCCTGAAGCAGCAAAACAGCCCCAGACAATCACAGATCCACCACCATGTTTGACTGCTGGTGTGATGTTCTTTTTATGACATGCTCTGTTCCCGTTACATGATGCAAAAAAAATAAATAAATAATTATAAATCAACTTTTGTCCAGTTAGTCCACAGAATATTTTCTTGAGGATCATCAAGATGTTTTTTGGCAAACATGAGATGAGCCTTCGTCTCTTTCTTACTGTTGAATCATGAGTGGGTTCCTTAGATGTTGTTCTGGGTTCTTTTATAACCTACTGGATGAGTTGTTAAAAGCTTTATGGAGTAATTTTGGTAGGCCGGCCATTAAAGTTTTCTCCATTTGTGGATAATAGCTCACTGTGGTTTGCTGGAGTCCCAACGCCTTAGAAATGGCTTTATAACGCTTTCTTTCAGCGACTTTGTTTCTCAGTTGTTTCATGATAATGATGTGTTGCTTTTTCAGATCTTTTAACCTGCTCCACTTTGTCAGACAGCTTTTTTAAAGTGGTTTCTTGATTAGACATGTGTTGCAGGCCTGCTCACAGTCCATGAAATTGAACTCATTTAAAAACTACAGTTTGTATTTACTTGGGTTATTTTTGTCAAATATTTTTATGATCTGAAACATGTAATTATGACAAATATGTGGGGAAAGAAAAATCAAGAACGGGGGAAATACTTGTTCACAGCACCGTAGCTCCAAATGCATGACAGAGATGCCATCAAAAACAAAAAACAGTCTGAATAAATAAATTTAATTCATTCCAGATGCCAGATTAAAAAGTGACCATTAGAGATTATAAAATCATACTAACCAGCACAAAACCGTCATAGATTTTCATCAGCTCCTCTGTCCGATACTGTTCCAGCACCACTACTCCTGTCAGCGACGGGCTCTTAGCTCTGGCACAGTCCTCACAGTGCACCACGTAGGTCGTCTTACTACTGTTCTCACTGGTCACAAACAGCAAGTTAAACACCTCCACCTGCACAAACACAGTGTAGTCAGCACCACTTTAGTCAAGCATTAGTTCATATTTAGTGGTATGACTCTGTTGGGGAACCTTCCAGACCCTTCTATATGCAGACATAGGGAGAGCCAAAGCAAAGCCCCAACACAGGACAAAGCAGGTATCAGCGACTGCAGATATAACATTGCTTATGCCATAAACAGCATGAAAAGGAGCAGCTACAGCAGAGGAGGGTTACAAAGCAGCTTGCAGGTATGCAGCACTGAGGGAAAGCTAAAGCAGCACAAACAGCATCTTCTAGGATGGATTTGCCAATTGGATGTGTAAAAGGGTGTCAGCTGAGCGACCTCATAGCCTGATTAAACTAACACCGCGCTCGACTTTTGAAAGTGGGACTCGTATCATGCTTTCACTTCTTTCACACAACAGAAGAGTCACTCACATCACACTCGTTGCAGTAGTAGGCTGGCTCGTCTTTCACGCGGCTCTGGTAACAGATTTTCTTCCCTGCAGCCACCAGCTGGTCTCTCAGAATCTGGATGTGCTTGATGGACTGCAACAGGCAGTGTCTGAGTGTTTGAGAGAGAGGGAGACAGAGAGGGAGGGGAAGACAGTGAAAGATGTAAACTAACGCCCCCTCACATACACACATGTATTCTGTAGATGCAAACACACATCTTACTTGATCATCTTGAAGGTATCCTGATCTGTGATTTTAATTGTGCGAGCCACATTCCAGGAAACGTGGATCATGGGAACGATTGACTTAACCTTCTTCACCTCGTTCCACTCAAAGCGCTCCAGGGCGAGTTGATATTGGTATGCTGGAGGAGTGAAAAAAAAGCAAACACAAAACAGTGGCTGACAAAAGGCAACAGCATATTTAAGTAGTAACTTTAGACAAAGAGGTTTGAAGCTGCTGCTTTTGGCTTATTTTATTTTTGTCCTTGTAACTCACAGTTGAGTGGTCCCACATTCCAGGCAATGTTGTTGCACCAGCCCACAGCTTGGACCCAGTGCACAGTCCCTGCATTAATCCACACCAGGTCGCCTGGCCTCTGGATGAAGCGGTACACAGGGATGTTGGAACTGTAGAGATCCTCTAGAACTGGCCACCAGGAGCCTGTAAGGTAGTCTACTCCATGCCTGAAGGAAAGACCAAAGCAATTCAGGCTACAGTAACATCTTTTGTATCATTTTTGTTTCAACTGAATAAGTTCTTAACTCACTTTTCACATAAATTATTAATAAGTTCCCAGTAGTGCTCATGGACTGCAAACCACTCGCAGTCACCAGGCCCGATGTTGATGTTAACTGAGCAGAAGTTGTTGTTCTCTTGATGACCTGATGAGAAACACAAGCAGTCCTTTTAATTTGAAAAGGAAAGTGTGTAAAGTGTGCGTGTTAGTCCCCATAGGGAAATAGTTCCTCTGCATTTAACCCATTCACCCAGTGAAGCAGTGGGCAGCCGCCAGTGCAGCGCCCAGGGAGCAGTGTGTAGGGACGGTACCTTGCTCAGGGGTACCTCAAGGTAGCCGTTCAGTGGAGTCGAACCCCTGACCTTCCGATCATGGGGCTACCACTCTACCTACTGAGCTATCCCTCATTTGAAACATTAAAAAACACCCTCCTGAGTCAAGACACGCACTTACCTGGTGTACGGCTGCCCGGCACCTTCATGTAAAGCTGGACAGTGTTCATGCCCAGGATGGTGTGACCGACGTGACTCAGCATGTTGTTACTGGATTCCACTCGCATGAAAGCTGGCAGCTTCAGCAGCTCCTGCAGCTGGGGCTTCCACCTTGAAAAAAAAAAAAAGTCAAAAAAAAAAAAGGTAATGTGAGAGATTGTGGATCCTCGATTAGGTAAGTTTAACATGATCTTACCTTTTAGGATCAGACAGATCTATGTTGGTCCCGAATTTAATGATCTTTCCAACAGGTTTTTGCTCTGAGCTGGGGAGAGACACAAGCCTAACATGAATATGCTTCGCTGTAATACTGTGACCTTTTACACGAACAGATCACAGTTTTTCACTAACCTCAGAGAGCTGTTGGCATGAGGAGGCTGAGCTTTGCTCAAGATGGATGCAGAACTGGCTTTTGAGGTATGATTGCCTTTACTGTTGGATAGTGTCAGAGCGGCTTTTGTGGCTGCCGATTGGTTTGGAGTCTGTTCCTCATCTTCCTCATTCTCACTCTCCTTCTCCTCCTATAATACATCTGCATGAGCTTAGCTTATAACTGATAACAAATGCATGATTACATAAATTCAAGGTAAGTTTTGGACAGAAACATCTGTGAAGTCAATCACGTTTTTGCCTGCATGTGTTGATTTCCTCACTTCAGACACTTAAATTGTTAAACACAAACTACTACACATCTGCTTACTAACCTACAACCTTCATTTAATGTATTTTATTCAAATAACCTTTGAACAAAATACCTTAAAATACTGTTAGTGTCCCCCTAATGCTTTAAACGATGGACAGACCTGCATCAAAAGTAAATACAAGTCTAAGAATATAAAACAATTCTGAATTATCATTCACAGTGGAACACATAACACATGTATGCTTATTTACAGAAGCATGGATTCTTTCTTGAAAAATATACATCTCACACATCTGAGATGACAAAAAAGAAGCTAATCTCCAGTTTGCAAAACATTAGTTCTCATACAACTTTAAAAATGTTTTTAACACACTGCAAATCACTGTTGTTTATTCAAGTAAACCAACATTTAAGTTCTAGTTCATGGACCCCACTTCAACCTAATTCCAGTCTATAGCATAGCGGTTAACACATTTGTCTAACACAGAAAAGATCACCACATTTTTTCATGATAAATAAGGTTCTCTTAACTACGGGACAGGACTTTTAGCTTTGAGATAGCTTTGCCTTTCTCAGACAGAAACATGAACTTTGCGATCCTTGGATGCTTTGTTTTATACTGTTATCAGATGAACACATTAATAACGTGCCTATAACTGCACCCAACAACCTTCTGTTTCATTCAGACATTTAAAAACAACACTCCCAAAATGTTCCCGCTTGTCTTATATTCAGACCTATGATTACATTCATTCATGACCTCTTTTTTTGTTTGTTTGGTTTTTTTCTGTGCTGATACATGGAAGAGCTAGCAGCCTTTATTCTTCAAGAAGCATAGCAGTAGGAAATGGACGGCTCAGATTTCTGTCCCTGGTAATATATGCAAGACGATCCAAAACACTGCCTTCATATTCAAATCACAGCTGTAATCTGTTTCTTTTTTTCAACACCAAAGATAGTGCTTATTTGTTTTGCATGTGTAGCTTCCTCCATATCGGTCACAAAACAGGTGTGGTAAGAAAGCCTGCATTGATGCGCACTTCTTGTTGGGAGGGATTTATAATGCACTCTGACTAAAAGCCAGTTGGTTTAAAATGGAGCTTAATGCAGTGGACTGTGCAAATGGGCAGACAGACTGCAATGATATAGGAGCCTTTTGGAACTGGGTCACATACTGTTGCCCATGTCCTCTACTGGTCAATCCCCTTTCCTCTTTAACAGACAGAAGAAATGACCTGAAGCCACCTGGCCATACACCCTATTTTGAACTTTTTTTGTTTGCTTTATTAAAATACCCTGGTCTAGCAAATGCTGCTGAACTTCCAACCTGAAGTGTCCGTTAAAAAATGATATTCAGGGGTGAAAAGACACCAGCAGGCAAACAACAAATTTAGCAATGTCAGCAATCACATTAGAACATGTGATACAATATTTCTTTAAAATCTATTTAGCCATGAGCTGAAATAAAAGCTGGTGCAACTCAATTATTCAGTCAGTTATTTCATTACCCAACATTAATTGCCATAAAAGTAACATGAGAGTATGCCTACCTGCAGGCTCTCCTGAAAGGTGGAGGCCTGGTACTGGGCGTATTTGGCAATGGTGGTGTGTGAGCGGCTGCTCTCGCAGGGCCATGTCTGACTCGCGCCACTTGCATCCCAGTTCTCATCAGCAGGCTGCTGAACCTGAGTCCTCACTTCCACTGCATGGTCCGAATTGGCCTCCACCAGAGATTTGGTTGAGAACAGACCAAGATCTGCGATGGAGAAAGAAACAGAGAAAGATAATTACCAGATAATTACAAAAACAAAATTTTTTTCCCCTGTTCAATTGCTGAGACCGGTGTTGCCATGCAAATGAATTCAAAGCGGCAATCATAGAAGAGTGGTTGCCAAGCCATCAATCGCAGTTGAGAATACATGTTTTGCATTTAAATGTGAAAGATGAAGCAGGAAGTGTTAGATTAGATTAGATTAGATAGAACTTTATTAATCCCTCGGGTGGGTTCCTCTGGGAAATTCGATTGTGTTATGTGGCTAACAAAATTTAAATGGGTTATATAGCAAGATACAGCACTATTAAAATATCCACTACTTCTATGACAAACCAGTTTTTTTTAATCTGAACAATCTGTGCCTAATTTGACCTTTCCTGCTTCTTGTGTGATGATTTGAACAAAACAATAAAGTAAAATTATTTTTTTTAACAGTAATTAAACTTACTAAGGCGGAGGGAGCCAGCGAGGCCTCTGATGACCGTAACAGCGTTTTTGGGATCAGTGCAGAACTGAAGCAGAACCGGAGAAAAGGCATCCCTCTTGCTCTCCAACTGTGAAAACAGCACGGGGTAAACCATGATGAGATCTGAATGCAGTGTTGGAGAACATTTCTCTGGAAACCAGGGGAAAAGTCCTCACAGTAGGTTTGAAATTTGCAGATTTCTCAAACAAGGTGTGTTAGGATAGCTCTCGCTTGCTAACCAATAAACAGGCCAAGAAATAGAACTGAGCTAAATGTTAACATGGGGATTTGTTGTATATCCATAAAAACTAATTGAACTGCAATCCATCCAGTTTTTTTTAAATTTCCAAGAGATTTCATTCTTAACCTTTCAAAAGTTGAGAATGGCTAAGCTAGGCTAGAAAGGTTAGCAGGTTTTTGAGTTTAGGCTAACTGACCAGCTTAGCCTGAGAACATGATCCGCAGAACCAGCCTGTTAGCGTGGCTAAAAACAAGATTACTTTTGAAGTCTGGTTACTTGAGCTCCATTAATTAGCACATACTCACATAGATGCTTGGTGTAGGAGGATTCAGCTTATCACGAGGAATGGGGGTCTCCACTGCAATGTTGGGTTTAACCGAGAATGCGGGAGGCAAGTACGACTCCTTGAATTTCCCTTTCAGACTTGCCCCCCTAGGAAAAAAAATGATACCAGAGCATTAATACTCATTAAGAGAGGTGAATAACACTCAGTGAGCTGGTAGCACATTTGTCAGCTTTATACTCACCTGCATGCTCTGATCACATCAGCGGCTGTGTTTGTGATGTTGATCTTGGAAAGTGGGATTGGGATTCTGGGCTCCTGCACTTCTGATATATTGAATGTCTGCCTTCCGCCGCTCTCCACTTTAACCAAGAGGATCTTCAGCTCCTTAGACAAGCCCATGGACAGCGCTTTCAGTTTCAGTGGGTCCACTTTACTTGCTGGTGCAGGACGGTCTAATTTGGTTGGACTTGTTGATACAGCTGATGTTGAATTTGAGGTGGTAACGTCTGTATTTCCGACTACACAGGCAGTCTCATTAACGAACCCTTTCTTCTCATCTGTTGTTGCATTTGAATTCCCAGTGTCCACTTTTTGTCTTTTGATATCTTTACCATTTGGGGTTTGATTTTCCTGAGGAGTCTGGCCCTTCATGCTGTCTTTGACCAGTCTGGCTGAGTATGAAATAACTGGCACTGAAGATAAAGCATTGCTGTCTTTTACATCGGGTACTCTACTTGTTTTAATTTTACAGCTGATGACCTTATTTTCTTCTCTCTTTATCTTAATCTTGATCGCTCCCTCTCTTTTCCCATCCTTTACCTTCTGTTTTCTCTTTTTCTCTTTGCCTGCACGTTCTGTCTTTGTGCCGTTTCCACTTTCTTCCTTGGTAGAGGGAGCTTGCTTTACCATCTTCATTACTGTATGTGTTGTGGTCAGAGTCAGCTCCGCACTCAGTGCCCCATCCAAAAGAGTCTTCGTCCTCTCCATCGGGTTTGCTGCATCCTTGTTGTCTTGTTTCATCACATCTTGTACATAACTCTCATTTCCCTCCTCTTTTTCCTGCACCATTGAGCTGGTGGCTGGCTTACTCACATCTGTCTGACTGCGGAATTCTTCAAGTGTGTCTGAGGTAATGTGAACTGGTGATTGATTACTGGGTTCGGAGGATTCTGTGGGATTTGATGTAGGGAAGAAGTCCTGGCTCTCGGGGCAGTGGATATCTGGGCCCAGTTCAAGAGAGGAAGAGTACTTCACTCCATTGGCATCACTAGCAGGAGGACCGCCGAATGGACCACCTCGGCATGCGACCCTCTGGCTGGCAAGTAAGGTGGCCAGGCTCTCAAAGACATCATCAAGACCTGCGTCATCATTGTGAAACTCATGAAGGGGAGAGCCAGACAGCTTCCTGCTGCTGTCCATCATCGCTTCTTTTTCTTCCTCCAGAACTTGTTCAATTGTACAAGGTAGATCAGAGAATTCAGACATGCTGCTGTGGGAATAATCTTCTGCACTCATATGATCAATGCTTTCACTCTCTACAGGAGGGGGTGAAAGACATTGAGTGGGGCTGAGCTGGAGGACAGGTCTGCTTAGTACACCTTTCTCTAGCTCCTCCTCCTCATCTCCAAGATCTGATACTGGAGATCCCTGCCAGCTAAGCACAGGAGGTGTGTTGGCAAGGTTGTCTCCCGTTTCCCTTAAATTTCCCATCACAGCCACAGGCTGAAGGTCTGGAGCATTGAGAACTCCTCCCTGCCCACCTTGCTGCTCTAAGCCAGCCGAGCACACTGTACTGAGAGGCGCTAAGGCTTTAAATAAGAGGGAAGGGAGTATGTCATCTGGCTTTGCTCTTGGCTCACCTTCCAGTTGGGTTGAGACGATGGTGGAACGCTTGCTGGCCTGGTGGTGGCTGGCTTTCTTAGGAAGAGGGGTTTCTGGGGCACTGCTGCTCTTTTTGAGCATTTTGTGATTTTCAGACTTTGAGGATGGCTGCTGTGAAGTGGGCCTGGGATGAAGGGTGTTTGTGGATGACCTATGCGTAGTCTTTTCTCCTTTTTCACTCCTGTCCCTGTGCTTGTGTTTGGGTGGTGACTGGGCCTGATTCTCTCTGTTCAAAGTCTGCATTTTACTTATCTTTGCCTCACTTAGACAGGTGGAAACAGAGATGGAAGAAAACATTTCCTGTTCTGTAACTTTCATTTTGAGGGCTAATTTCCGTTCCTTCTTAGATGCTTTATCGCGTTTCTTTTTCTTCTCGGCCAACCTTTTCTCCTCTTTTTTCTTCCGCCTTTTTCTGTCCTCACCCTTTCTGCCCATCTTTGGAACGTCACCCTTCTTCTCCTTTTTCAGCAGCTTATACTTTTGTTTGGATTCAGACTTTTTATCTTCTAACTCCCTCTCAGGCTTGTCCACTCTTGCTCTATCGTGGGGAGACTGCAGTGAGCAGAGGAGCTGTGAGGTCTTCCTGTACTTGAGGTCTGAAAGCCTAGATTTTGAACCAGCATGGGGTGTCGGAGATGTACTTGATCCCCGACTGGGTCTCGGGATGACACTGGGACTTTCTTGGAGCTTTAGCTGCCCACTGAGGCTGGGACAACGCGGCTGAATGACTGGTGAATCTTTTCTGCCATTGAGCATTTTGTCTGTAGAAGGACTGGAAGGAGCACCTGTACTGCTGAAAGTAAAACCTCCATTGTTCGGACCACAGAGTACAGATGAGTACTGAGGAGAGTTTACACCAGATTTCAAGAGGGAGGGGTCCCTTGAATTTGTCCGTTGATGAATGCGCTGATTCTCCTGCAGAATTAATTTTGCATCAGTAACTTTAAGCTGTATTGTACATTTAAGGCCTTTATACACCAGACATGTAAAATTGGTTAAGTGTTAAAAATATCTTTCAGACTCACTTATTCTTGGTGCACGTGACTGTGCAAGTGACCGTGTAATTTTACTGGACAAACTTGTCATGTACTTTTTGGGACCAAGCTGAATTTTTCTAAGTTTTCTGATGAAAAGAAACATTCTGACCAATCAGATCACTGAATCTGGCAAAAAGTGTGATTGTAGCTCAAAGCCAGTACTGAATAGAGATGGCACGATACCACTTTTTTATGTCCGATACCGATATCATAAATTTGGATATCTGCCGATACCGATATGAATCCAATATAGTGTTTTTTAATCAACAAAACTGTTTTTTTTTTTAAATATCTTGCTGCATTTTGTATAAGTTCATACTCAAGTTTAAAACAACAACTACACTAAAGCTATTCTGTTATACCTGTATGCAAAAAAGAAATGTTTCATAGTTCAGCAATACTGATCAATCTAATAAACTTAAACCTACACCATCCTCCCTATTCTGGTATTTTAAAGAGTACTTAGCGTAAATATTAAGCAACCTAACTAATAGGGTTCCAACTCCCAGCAACAAAAATAAATAAATAAAAAATAGGGAACCACCCCTCACGCTCCACCTCATGATGCTTAATCGATGTAATCAACCTTAATTTGATGCAGTGTGAAAAAAAAATGCACAGAAATCAATTATTTTTCAAGAAATATTAAATAGATTCAACATCTTTCTTCAACAAAATTGCAGACTGCACAGATGGTACCTTCCCAAAGGAAAAAGTACTATAGCTTACTAGGGTATATATATTAGACTTAATAGTCACTATATACAGTAATTGACTTCTATTCATTTTACATCAAATTAAAACTTTGGATGTCAGATAATTATTTATTAAAAGCTAGACATTTTAAATGAGAATAAGAAAGAAAAGTATGTCTTTGTGCCCCCTTTTCCCTGTTAATGCCCTATCGGCCCCCCTGGCTAAACTTTGCTAGATCCGCCCCTGCACAGTTACCAGCCGTCAGCTACGTAGAAAAAGATTCTCGAGTAGAAAGTAATATTAAATAAATTCTAACAACAGCTTATCAAGCTTAAACGTGCTGCTGTTGTTCAGCCGCTGGTTTCCTCTTTCTGGTGCAAAGTGGGCCAAAAACAAACAAGAGAGACGGACTCACGACAGAAAAGCCGATCAGCTGATCATTAAGCAATTTCGTGATTGAAGTAGCAGCAAGAAGAGGCAGTCGCTTGTTAAGCTTAACGCAGGAATGCTTTACATTCAGAGATGGACTTACACACTTGCTTTACTTCTCTCGGGGATAACTTTGTCGGAGATGAAATGCCGGGTTGCTAGCGAAGCTCCAAATGCTATCCAGACCACCGACAGGTCCCGCATGCCACAGCCGCTCTATCACATGATGCATACTGCTCCGACGTGCTAACCTGAGGTGAGTTACGGTGTGTTGCAAGTTTTGTGAGGTGCTTTCGTGATATTTAATGGATCGGATTACATTTTTTATTTTTCTCCGATATCCGATCCAGTAATTTAGGTCAGTATCGGACCGATACCGATACGTAATATCGGATCGGTCCATCTCTAGTACTGAATATGCAATGATATGTAAATAGTAAAATTATACTGTTTTACCTGTTTACACACAGCTAAACACTAGGGGTGCAACGATATTCGTATCGATATTGAACCGTTCGATACAGTGCTTTCGGTTTGGTACGCATATGTATCGAACAATACAACATTTGTAATTTATTTTATCAACTTTCCTTCTGACGATGCTGTCTGTGTTGAGCGCTCAGTGAATCTGCGTTCGACTACTCCGCCTAGGCTGCACTGTCGAGCGCAGATCCACTGAGCGCTCAACACAGACAGCATAGTCAGAAGGAAGAGCGCAGGGCAAGCTAGCAAGACAGAAGTTAAGCTCTCCTTGCAACATGGACCTCCCCCACCCTCATTCAGATCTGGCGTTTGGAATTATTTTGGTTTTCATGTGACGTATGACCCTGAAGGTAAGCGAGTCATGGACTAAAGTAAAACAGTATGTTGGATGTGCCATGCAATGCTCAATTACATGGGTGGGAACTAGTGTGTTAGCGCAGTTAGCTCGTTAACGTGTTGGCCGTCTAGCCCCATGCACGGGGCGATCGGCGGTAGCTCGTTAACGGAGATTTGCCGTGTTGTGGCGTTAAGGTCATTTCAACGAGATTAACCTGAAAGCACTAGTGGGAACACAACGAATATGACTGCACATTTACGCCGACATCATCCTAGTGCAAAGACAAAAACAACAAGCATGCTACTAACTTTAGCCGAGTCATTTAGACAGCTGTTAGCACATGATTCTCCTTATGCTGCTGAGAATATAGCCCAGAAGAAGCGGATAGTATAGCTTTTATTTTGGAAAGAGACATTTCTCTGTAATAAACTCTCTTTTCCAAAGATGAGTGATTCCTCAATCAGATACATGGCTTGCAATATCGCTAGCCCGACGTCCTGGAGCTAGCGATTTTTTCAGTCGGGCTACCAAAATCTATCTCTTCCCTGCCCGTTGGGCTATTGTAGGAAGGAAAAATATATGTCAATGCTTTTGCATTCTTTCAGAAATGTAGCTGGGTAATTATGTCATTGGCATCGGTGAGCCACTGTCAATATGTGACATATTGATCGCGTTTGAATTTGCGCTTGTTTTTTGCTTTCACTTTGCAATCGTGCGAACTGTGTATAGAGAGCGACAGCACTGATCTGTGAGTGATGATAATTTGTGCACCAATTCCTCTGACATCGTCTTATTAATCGTTAGCTTACTATGCAAACATGACAAGTGAAATCTCACGCAGCAAGCTTAAACATGTGAGAGGTTGATCGCGCAGAGAATCGCTGAGCTTATGTGAGTGCGTGTGTAAAAGCAGCAGGATATATATTTTAGTTCTGCTGAGCCAAATAAGACAGGTCAGGGTGAAGAAGTGACAGCCAAAGAAAAGCTTACCACAAAACGGAGAAGTTATGACAAATCAGACTATAAGGCAAAAAGAAAGTGCAGCTTTATGGTTTCATGGACAAAATAATTTCTGTGGCTGCAATATGACGAGCTAAATAACCAGGGCTGCACATAAGTGGTCCGCAGGTGCGCATTCGCTGTCAAAATAAAAAACACGCACAAGGGTTAGGGTTAAATTTAAAAACTGTACCTTTGAGTTTAAATATATACATTTATAATTTTAATAAATGACAAATTAAAAAGGCATGAACATTTTTTTTGTATCGAAAAAATATCGAACCGTGACACCAAAGTATCGAACCGAACCGAACCGTGAATTTTGTGTATCGTTGCACCCCTACTAAACACTGTTCAATCTGCTCTCGGAAATTACTTCTCTGCCTCCTCAGATGTGGTCCAAACTCTGTCAACAAGAATTCCAACTACCCCACTGACATCCTGAAATATGTACGAAAGTGTTCGTGATACAGCTTGAACTCCTGGACCAAACCAAGAAATTCTCCCTGCTGCTGCCTTTATGTGAGAATTGGATGAGCTCAGAATCTCCTTTTCTTCCTTTTCTTCCTTTTCCTGTTCAGAAACATCAGGACCAGATCGTCATCGCTTCATGTCAACTTTTTTCACAGTGCGTTTTTTGAGAATTAATTTTCTGCTAAAATTCAGCGCTTCGACGAGCGGTCGACAAGTTTGCATCTGAAAAAATGTGGAATGTGTCACTTTTCCGCTAAGTACTCAGTGTGTAATGGTCTTTAGGTTCACAATAAAACTGGGGATGTGGAAGAAAACACAATTATACTGACACTAATCATTAATCATTATTAATCGATTTAACTATAGGGTACTGTAGCTAGGATATACAGATCCCAAACGCTCTGGAGGATCCTCAGGATGGGTGGAAAAAGACCAGGTTACTTTTTCTTTCTTGTACACAACAAATAACATCATGGTCACCAGAGCATGACCCCTTTAAAAACATACTGTCTCCTGTCAATTCTGAAGGTGATAAAGAGCAACATCTACCCACACTTTATGAGCATATGGCTTTGCAATAAAAACACTCTACCTGTTTACTATGTGTAAAATAGCATACTGAAATAAAAGTGTGATAGTAGTTTATCTCTTACTGTGCTTTGTTTGTGATAATGGTTCCAAGAGTCCTTATCCTCCAGAGGGTGTAGTGGGGCGTTGTGCTGAGGTGCTCTAGGCTGGCCTGTGTGCCGTTGATGGTTATAGTGATGGTGTTGGTGGCTGTAAGGCACACGGGTGTGGTCTGCTGGTGAAGATGAGATTTTCCGCTCGACCTTCCCTCTGCTTCCATAATGCGGTGGCCTCCTGCCGCAGCTCTGGTTGGATGGCACTGGGTCACTGAAGCCGTGTTTCCCAGCTCGCAGTTTAGAGGTTTCCTGCAAAAGTGAAAAACCAGATTTGGGAATCAATGGTTGTGCCAAATCTGAGGAATAATACATGTTGTACATGCTCACCTGTTGCTGTTTTGTTGAGGTCCTGTGTTCAGAGTGGTGGCATGGACCCGCCCTGTCACTTGGAGGCTTCCAGTCGTCCTGGTTGGAGCGCTGTTGGTGAGGTGGTGATGGGGCACGAACAAGTAAAGGTAATTGCCTGGATCCAGTATGACAAGCCTAAACAGATAAATACCCTTTCTTTTAAAACTGCATTACACCAATAGGTGGGGCTGTTACACAGAAATGAAATGCCATGTAGCATATAGATGTGTACATGTAAACATAGTGACAGCAGTGAAATTGGCACAGTAAGGTCAAATGAAATTATCTGACTAAGTTTAAGAAACGAAGGTTAATAGAAAAAAAACAATGTTGTATTCATAAATAAATATTGATTAGTGAGTAATTATGGCGTTAAACAAACTGATCCATTCACGTGAACTTAAAACGAATCCATTAAACATGCAGTGTTTGAGTGCCCGAGATGGACATCACCGACCTCGCAAATTGAGTTTCCTGTATGTGGCTAGAGACTAGCTACATATGTAATAGTCAAAGTCCTATGTTTTATGGCCTGAGAAGGCTTCCCCTTCAACAAGCTAAAACACAAGGGAAAGGGATAACACAGCATCTGTATAAAATACCATCCTCTTCTTCCTCACCTCAAGCCTCTGCTCCTGAACCGAAGTCAGGGCTCTAACACACAAAGATGTACATAAACTTTACTTCCAGTTTTTGAGCCACTTCAAAGAAAGTTTCACTAGAGCCAGCTAATAGTAGCCAACACGGTAAAAAACGCCGCTAACAGCAGCCAGAAACACAGAAAGCCTTTGGATATCCTCAACAACTTATCTCAGCATAACTGCCATTGAACAGAAGTTTTACACAGTTTTACAGACGTGGATACATATTGCACTCACCATAGATGAATTGAGGCCAGAGGTTTTGAGGTGACTTACGGGGTAAAAAACGTAAAACACTTTCCTGATTTACTTTCCGTGTTATTCAAATATGTTAAAACAAAGCGTGTACAAAAATGCTTTTATACACAGATAGTAGAAAAAAAGTTGACCATAGCAGTTATGGGTTACTGTTTACATTGAATGCTTTTGATCTCTCTTGGCTGACCGACTGCAATCTCCTGACATCTAGCAGTGACATTTTACGCATTTTGCGTTTAAAAAATGAAATAAAGGTTGTGTCTCCAAATCAAACACATTTACCTGATCAGGTCCAAAGTCTCTTCTCCTCTTAGCTGGACACTCATCCCGGGGGGTTAATGGGTGCTCCGGGGTTGGACTGTGATGATGCGCTTGCTCCCGTCGCTGGTGGAGGGCTGGCCGTTTCCATGGTCCTGTTCTGTTGTTCACCATCCTGTCTGGGAAACTCCTGCGGGGGTCCGAGTGGGCCCATCTCTCTGGCGTGGTTCCCTGAAGCTCCCTGTTGTTGCGATGCAGGCGAGGAGCCCCGTTCTATTGGGAAAAGAAAAACAATACAGTCAAGATTCCTTAACTAATGACTTATCGGCAACACCTCACCACAAAGTTGCTGACATTGTTTTGCCAGTTTGCGTAGCGTTCCTCTGGTCCTGGCAGATAACCATTGTTGGTGCCATCTCGGATGTGGAACGAATGGATGGAGTTGTGATGCCAGTTCTGGACCTCAAACTGCACCTCTTTACCATCCCAAATTCGCAGCAGCTGGCTATGCCCCTTTGGGATACCTTTGTCCGGGACATGGTTGATTGTTCTGTCACCCCTGTGAAAACAACTAAACTCAGGACCACGCTGTGGACAGGCATTAATGGTAATTACACCACAGTACAACGGAAACTTTTCCGGTCAATACTCAGATTCATCAGGGCATCAAGAGTTGTACTGTTCAGTTTCTCAGTACGAGTGAAGCCAGCTTAGAGAAAATGACACTGACAAAAGCAGTTTCAGTCACAAATCACAGCACATAGCTCTGAAAGCTGGTCAACACAAACCCCTTTAAAGTGTGGTATGAACGATAAATACTTACCTGCTATAAATACGACTTGACAGAGAATGATATGGCTGTTTGCGCCCCTCTTGGAGCCTATAGTGGGGGACAAAAAAAATATTGTGTTGTCTTAATTCGTTTCAAAAGATGTGACGCTTTTACTCGTAGCCTGAAGTCAGATTAAAGCTAATTTCTCAAATGTTTTCTGCAAATAAATGTTAAATGTAGTTCACTGTTGCTCAAAGTTGCTCACAACTTTGGACATACTCAGAAATGAGGTTTTCCTTCACAGCGACTCTAATCCAGTTTTTTCCCACATGCTAAACTTCACAGTTTGTTCATCAAAGGTCTCTGCAAGAATAATTTAATCCCACTGTTTCTAAAATTTCTCCTGGCATGCCTCCTCTTCAGAAAATGAAAATAGTTTACGGCCCACACCCCACAAGAAAATGTTTTCAAGGTGTTTTTTTTCTCTGTGAAATAAATGCTATCACCACAGCATTAGCAGAATTTTGTTTACTTATGTTAAATAAAGAACACTATATTTAGCTTTATGTTTTTACCTACAGCCCTGCAGTGGCTCTATGCTCCACCAGAGGGGCCTGATTAAGAAACACTAGTTTAACCACACACGGTAACCACCATGACTCAACCAAACTATTTAAACTTTAAGTGGTGGATGCGCATAATAAACACATCAAATACGTAGTGGAATAAGAGCATCAGCTTCATTTCTACATTACTTATTTAGATTACTGTTATCAGTTAGTTCAAACTGCTCTAAAACACTATATCCAGGCAGTATGTTTTTAAACTCTTGGCTTTGTATGATGTGAATAACAGCTGATCTCCCTTATATGGTCATCTCATGCACAGCGCTTTGTCTGCAAGAACACACTCTCTACCTACCTGCTGCTATGAGAAGCAGCCAACCAGAAGCTAAGTTTGCTTGAAGGTAGTGGAAAGAAAACTAAAATGACTTGTTTCAGACATTAGATGAACTTGGCTGCACCAAGGCTCCGTATAAAATGCATGAAGATTATTTTGATCTGCGAATCATGCAAAGCTACTGTAGCAGCTTTACCCTAGAAATAGGAAGAAAACTATGGAGCTGAAAACGAGCGCTTTCCTTTCACTTTTATTATCTATTTCTCTCCAAAAGCCGCGACTGCACATAGCTGCATGAGCTACAGTCGCATTCATCAGCGCGTACCCTCAACTGTTGCAGCTGAATAGCGAGACTTGAGTCTTGTGCCAACTGCAGCTGAAGATGCTGTAGTTTCATTCACCACAAGCCTGTCTGTTGAAACCGCACACGGGTTTATTCCCACAGCTGCACATGAAGTGAGAGCTTTTCATGAATATGCTCATCAGAGTTTCAGTTGATCAGTCAGCCACATAAAGTGGCTCTTATCTTGAGTCAGCCCAGACTACAAAAGGCTCAGGTCTCACGTGCTCAAGTGACCCTTGTTTGAGGAAGTTCGAGCATCGAGTTGTTCCACTACCAACGGCCGCAGTGAGCTTAAACCCAGAATCTTTTTTTAAAAGTCACACTGGCTTTCTTAACTGATGCAGCCTTAGTGGTTAATTTTTTTCATATCAATATGATCAGAGACATGAAAATAGAAACAAACGAATATAGTATGGTGAGGCACATGCATAGCACATGTTATCTGCTGCAGGTGAATCACATGTGTACCCCTTAAATGAAATACTGTCCTGCAAGTGTTGCGTTTGTGTGTGGGTTTGGGGACGGTGCTGCTGACCTCTGTGTGTGGCTCCAGGGGCGAGCATTTACAGGAGCCCATTGTCCTTTGTTAGGTCCTCCAGCTGAGTAGGAGTCCCATGTGTTACGGCCAGAGTAGAGCTCTGCTGGGTGATACATGCAGCCTGGAACACACACACAAACACACGCACAGAGTTTAATGTGTAAGTGAAAATGCTGAATACACAAATCAACCTGTAAATATTTAAATACCCTGACTTTATGAAATGCAATTTCAAAATGATGCTCCTTTAAACTTTTAACACAAATTTCAGCATGCACATCCCAGGTATATGAAATGCATATACTGCACACATGCTGTATACGGTATTCAGGGTCCACTGCAATGAATTGTGCAGTAATTTTCATTTGAAGTTAATTCCTACATTCATACCACGTATATAAAAAAGGGAGCTTTAGTTCCATGATACTTATACCTCAGGTAGATGTAGCTCTGGGTTGTAGTGCAGTAAGGACTTTGGGTGATAATAAACTCTGTACGGTAGCGCCAAATTGTGAAGTATGTCTGCTTTTAAATAGTCACGCACAAACACACCCACACACAGAGAGCACAGAGACAGACAAAAATATTTATGTGGTTACCAGTCTTGGTCTGTGTTTTGGAGGCCCTCCACTTCACACCTGAGAGCAAAAAAAGCAGTCTGTGGACAAAACACGTGGTTAAGTGAAACGTTCCGTTCAAGGCATTTTTCCACAACACTTGCATTTCTTCTGGCGTTATAAGAAGCTTTATTTTTTTAATCATGTGGGTTTGTGACTGAACTGATGCCACACTATCACTCTGTGTGCTCCCGGTAGATTTAATTCTGCTCGCCGAATTTTCTGCTGCTGCACTGTATCTGCTCAGTGGTAATACCATCACTCAGCCAGAGCTGCACTGTGCACTCAGCTTCTCTCTAATCACAGCCACCACCGCCAGTGGTCACCCAGTGATGGGAAAAAAAAGCCCACTGCAGTGAGACCATGGGCCATGGCAACCTCACTTTGAAGACAAAGAAAGAAAAAAAAAAACCATGGTGGCCTGCTGCATTTATTTTATCACCATTCCCTTCAAGCCATAAGTCCCTAATTTACTGACAGAGCTGGTGGTAGATGTGGCTCAAATCAGTAGCAGACATCCACAGTAGGAGTTCATTCTAGCCAGCTTTATCAGTCGCTATTCCAGGAGCTCTGCGTTTCCCTATATTCCTCCTAAGCCACAATCTATATCAAGTCAGGAGCTTGCTGCACTGTATCTGTCTTTTACAGTGTCTTACAGCCTCAATTCTTATTTCCACTTTTGTGATTGCTTTCATTGCTTAAAACAGGAAAGTCACACGTACGTCTTTCATTAGCGTGGACCGAAAAGATCACTTACTGCCTCTAATGATGACACACTTTTCTTGCTGAAGAAAGCTTTGCTGTTACGGTGAGACATTGGCTTCATTTCTCACAATGAATGATGAACTGGCATGCAGCATTTCACCACTTCCCTCACTGTGCATTAATTCTACTATAAGTAGGGTTTTTTTGTTGTTTTTTTCATGGTTCTGTGCGTGGTGAGACTGTTGCAGCTGTGTTATATTAACTTTTCTGCGAGTGCTGAATGAGTGAAGGAAGCAGCCTCTTCAAGGGACCATTTCCAACCAGTTGCTAGAGCAACTGAGGCCAGACAGTTCCTAATGCTGTAGCTCTAGGCTTTTCAGACTCAACTGCATTTAGATGTATTTTTAGAGCACACTGAGAACACAACAGGTCTTTAAGCGTGCACACAACGTTGCACTGCTAGCATGCATTACAACAACACTGCATGCTTTCACTTTCACATACAGAACCGGGTGACATCAGTCATCGCTGGGTTATGCTGTGCAGCAGATGCAACACATCTGGCGACATCCACCCCAGTCCTGCTAAAAATCTGCTGTTTCAAACGTCCGCAATTCCACTCTGCCTCTTTATCAGTAAAAGTCTCCTTAGCTGAGATATCGCTTGGTTCTGTTAATGTATTTTGAGTGTTTGTGACTGTCCCAAACAATTACTTGCATACAACAGTTTCCACTTTTTTCCTACTTTCACAACATTTGCGGACAAAGTGCTGCGGTTGCTGTGCTTGCAAGTGATGGGGCAACGGTATGCAGACCCATCTGGTATAGACCCTCCCTGCTTACAGTGTTGTAGGGGGAGCCGTCAGTCAGCACCAGCTTGCATTTGACTCCACACAACAACGGCTCTGTGGCTCCAATATTAAACCCATGTGTGCAGGAGTTAATTCAAGACATATGGGCTGTAGCTGCGAGGCCACATGATGTCATGTGCAGAATGGGTTAAGTTGCTGCAGGTTAAACTCCCTTCACAGCAAGGTAGCCCAAAAGAAAGCGCACACAATTCCAAAAGTGTAGTATGTAAGAGCTGACTTTATGAAATGCCAGGTGCATTCAATTACCACTGTACCTTTGGCCACTACAGTCCCCTCTTTGCTTTGGCAGTGTGTAACGTTTGTGCGCAGACAGGTAAAAAGCCTTCATTTGTTGACGCCTATTGTTCACTTAAACCCACCATCTCCTTTCTCTTTCCATGCCACCAAAGAAGGACAGCCATGTAAACCCACATCTGGCTATTTGAAACCAAATGTAGAACCCATGTGTGTGTTTGTGCATCTCTTACACAAGTCTTACCTTCAAAATAAAAGCTGAGAGAACAGTGTTGTTGGTGGAGTTGGGGGTGAGTGGGAGTGGGGACTTTCTGGTCCAAATTAGATGATGCTGTCAGGCCGGAATAGAAAGACAGCAGACCCGCAGAGTCTCGGATCCCTCTAAATAGACATCCTCATCCTTGGCTAGCTGGTAAACACACACACACAGACAGACACACAGTAAAAAAGGACTGAGGAAATACCATCGCCAGTTGGTGCACAGATGTACAAGATAAGGAAGGTTTTGTTTGTTTGTTTGCTTTTTTAAGAAAAAGGGCACTTCCATCTCATCTGTCCCCTGGGTACACCTGCCCATTCTCTTTCTTTCTGTTCTTGTTTTTTTTTTGCAAAGATCTACATTGCTGCAAACCTGACCCCCTCTAAGACAAAGAGCTGTGAGCAAGAGAGGAGAGGAAGCATGGTTTGACAAGCTGGCAGGCATTCTTTCCTCCTGCCTTCCCCTCCTTGCTGGTCTGCCCTTTTGCCTTTGCTCTCTTCCTTACTTGTTTCAACAAGGCTCTTTTTTTTTTCCTTCTCCCTCCCTCTTGATATCCAATATCCCACCCTTTCTCTTCCAGGCAATCTGTACGGCTCTGCCCATGCCTCACCCTTCCTTTTCTCTGCACGCTGTGTCCTTGTATCCCTGGCAACCAATGATATCATTTAGTCCAGAGCTGGGAGGAAGGCCTCGAGCAAGGAGGGGAGTTTTTACATTTGTGTGTGAATTTTGACATGGAAATGGGGGGGGGCGAGCAGTAGGATTTAATGGATCCTGCCACATTTCTCTGTTCGCTCTCTTCAGGCTTGGGTGTTGTTTACACAGCAGCTCTGTCAGCTCCTGAGATCTCCAGAGCTTCAGAAACAAGCTGTCAAATTCATGCAAATCTTCCACCACGCCGACTGCAGTGACCCCGCTGCAGATGTGCAGATCTTTTTTTCCACCGAGGCTCCATCATGTGCATGTGTGTGCGTGTGTGTATATGTAGCACAGCTCCTATACCATAAAAGGAACGATGGGCTGCCTCTGGTGGTCTCCTATTGCTAAGCTAACACAGAGCAGAGACGTGAGGAGAACAGATGGAGGAGAGCGGACGAGCAACAATGTACAGACGAGAAACAAGAGACTGGGCAGGCTCTCGTGCACATGCGTGATTTTATCGGACGCCGGCCTTAAATAGTGTCACCATCGCAGAGAAAGAACGTACAGTATGAGGCGAATATCAATCACATTTCTAAAAATAACCCCCAACACACACACGCATACACACACACACACACACCCCTTCTTGCTCTATCCCCCTTCTCCCTTTCTGTAACAGCAGCTTCTTCCCAGTGTATGCTCCATAAAGCACAGCTCTCCGAGGGGGTGCTGGAATGTACCAAGGCAAGGTCAAGAACAAGAAAGAGGGGTGCCTTTTGCAAACAATGCAAAAAAATGAAGCTTTTTTGTACAGCTTTCCCCCCTCTCTTTAACAAAAGACTGTGAAGCAGGAGTGAAGAAGACGCTGGATGCATGCATGAATGCGCGTGACAAACAGCTGGGTTTGTGGGAGAATGGTAACCTAGAAATGCACGTGCAGGTGGTTGCTTGCACTGATCCTTTCAGCTGAAAGCATACACCAGGTTCACATTACTGACAGTAACGTCAGACTGCTGCTTTTCCTTTCAAAATCACAAAAAGGGATCGCTTCTGTTATCAAACGTGACCCAGATATTTAGATGGAGTCAACGCATGGCCAAAGAACCACTGTGGGAAACATGTTGAGGGAAGTGAACTTTGAGAGGAGCCCAGCAAGTGACACAGTTCAGACCTGAGCTAAAGCCATAATTACAGCACTTGGTTGCACTGAAGAGCCTTACTACTGTACACCTCTTTCCCTCCCTCCACGCTCACACAAGAGGATATTCAACAGTTTAAATGTGCCGGAGAGCACCGATGTAGCCATAACAAGAGTGTAACTGCAACAGTTCCCCTATCTTCAACCTCCCCCTCCCATCACATTTCTGTTCTTGCGCATGCTGTGTGTCTGCACGTGAGCATGTATGTGTGCATGTATGTGTATGTGTGTGTGTGTGTGTGTGTGTGTGTGTATGTGAGAGAGAGAGAGAGAGAGAGAGAGAGAGAGAGAGAGAGAGAGGGAGCTTCATTCATGAACGTGCGGCAGTCTGCAGACACCACACACACTGCAGTATGCTCATCCAAGGCAGATCGTTCAGGCATAGTGACACAAATAACAGCAACAATGCAAGGGGACAGAAAACAGTTACACTTCTCCTTCCACAGTGCTGTACACAAAGCGACACATTTCCACTCAGACATAAATGCACATCCAGTCCCCCCCCCCCGCCTCCCTCCTGCCCACCCGCCCGCGGTTCTCTCCTTTACCTTCTTTTTTTTTGTTGTTTTTGTTTTGGTTCTCTCTCGTCGCACGCCCCTCTGTTCCCCTTTTTCCTCCCTTTCAACTCCTGGCCACCTCGTCTCTCGCACGATCCTCTCCTTTCTTCCCTCTTCTCCTCCTCTTCCTGTTTCCACTCCACTCCGATGCTGGTTCTCGCTCTCGCAGCAGACCCATCCATGTGCACAGAAACGACGGGGGCGGGCCGGCCGACTGTCAATCACGCGGTGCGAGCGAATGAGGCGCGCGAGCTTCCTATCAAACACACTTTGCAGGGTATGCGAGAGGAGAGGGGAGGGGAGAACGGCAGACAGAGAGAGAAATAAAGAGCCCCTCTTTATTTCCCCTCCCCTGTGTGTATGTGTGTGTATAACCTGGAACACAGCCAGTACAGTAGAGATATTTAAATCTCTCCACAGCTGTAAAATAATCTTCGGAAGCAGAGAAATTGGTTATACATGCGTATTTATGCATAAATAGACTGGCGACTATTACACCAGTATGACATATCTCATGTGTTCTTGTTACAACATTTTTCCTCCCCCAAAACACTGAAAAAAACCCCCGCAAAGGCTCACAGAAGCACAGTTTCAGTGTGTACCGTGTAAGGGCTCAATACCCGCGGTGTTGTCTTTCTGGGTGCGCTGGAAAGTGAAGCAGAGTGAAATGGTGACAGAGAGGCTAGCCAGCGTTGGCTGAGCTCAAATGTCAAGTGACAGGATAACTGAGGGGAGGTGGAGCTACAGCTTTTGGTTCATGAAGGGAGGGTCTTGTCTTTGTGGCTTTAACAATGCAAAGCCACCGCTCACTCCTCTCCGCTCGTTTCACCCGTCGGCGACCAATAACGAGCAGGCAGACCTCTCAGCTGCGAGTGAAAGTGAGAGGCAGAGATGAAGAGGACGAGCAGCCAGACAAATGTAAAGAGTGAAAAGGTGGAATCAGACTGCTGGAAGATTTTTTTTCTTCCTTTCCCCCCCTGAAGTGCCTTAGCAACAGTCCCTGATCAGCTCAAAGTCTATTGGTCAGGGCTCAACCCCATGTGGGTGTTTGGACCAATGAGCGGTCTTTGCTGCAGAACTAAGCGGGGAAAGTCTCACAGGCTAGCAATACCTGCTAAATTGTGCCCCCTGGCGGTTCAATGAAGGTCTACAATCTGTTCTCAAGTGGATGGGAGCATAAACTCTCAGTCCTGTAACTTTTTTTCTTCTTTGCAGTCTTGTCTGTCATCTTCAAAGTAGTTCGTGTAAATGTGGATGTAATTTAAACTTTGTGATGCATTAGTTTACCGTGACTATAACGGAGCAATAATACACTGATGCACAAAGTGGAGAAACAAAAGCAAAGACTGGAAATTAAAAACAGTTTGTCATCATATGACCATATATATAAACGTGATTTCATGCAGTTATCATGAGAGAGGGCACGAGGAAACAAAAGAGACGAGTCTGTAGTGCCTCCATGTGGCTAATATGCAGTATTACATAATGGCAAAACTGCTGTACGTTAGAGCAGTTTGATGCTATAAATGCATTATCACTAGTAAATATATGTGTGTCTATGTTTTATGGAATCACTCTTGTTTTTAATATGATTGTGCAAACATTTTTAACTACTTTATTTTTGTATTTTTTATGTTTGTTTAAAACAGGTCTGTCTTGTAAATGAGACATTGAGTCTCAGTGGGATTACCTGTATCATAAAGGTTAAATAAATCTGTATTTAAAAGTGTGTCATACATTGAATTGCTTTAATGTACTGCATTATATATTTATTCATCAATAATAAGCCATCATAAAGCACTTCATTTGTAATTAAATTACTCAACAGCCATACACAATCTTCCTGTATTCTGATCACATGTTCATTGCCTGTCTGAGCATCATTGAAACAGTGATGCTTCATGTTTGTAAAGAACTTTGTATGAAAAGTACTCTTGCCCTCTTTGATCCACCCCAAGAGACACACAGACATGCAGTCAGGCAGGCGGAAGGATGCCTGCTGGCTGAGATCTAGCACTGTTTCAAAAGCTTTTTTTTTTTTTAACAGTATCATTTTTGGCTGATAAGATTCTCTGTTAAATGGGTTTCTCTGCTGAGCTAGAGCCTTGTTCAAAATTCACAATCTGACAGCACAGTTTCATCACACTGACCATTTTTCTATGAAGGGAACCAGACCGGTACTTTGGAGTTTCTGTTTCCCTCGAAGAGCAGCAGAGGGCAGTGGAGCCGGGACTACACACTTGGTCTGGATTTATAATTTTAATTGGTAAAAATGCTGACAGCTGAAAAATGTCCGTTCACATAACTGCATCATCAGCCCCGGCTACATAAGTTATGATTGTCATAACTCAAGATTAGATCAGAGAGGCAAGCTGGTCCCTCAATGAATAACAACACTCAGTCACTCAAATTGACTTATTAGGGCAGTGAAGGATTGTTGCTCCGGCTAATTTGACAGTTTCCATTTGCATAACACCGACTTTGGCAGAGGGCAGTATGGACAGCTCCACAAACTCCCGCCGCTGACGTGTAGCTCCTTTTATTTGCTTTGCATCGCACATTATTTACATGTGTGGTTCCCATCACTTCATATTGGACATACCCCGAAAGCCTAAGTGTGTTCATTTGAACTGATTTTAATGAGAGAGAAAAAATCAATACACTTGTCTATATTTAAAATATGAATATGAACAAACATTTTCCATGAATTGCTCTTTTTGTATGCTTTTGTATTGCTATAACAGAATCCGTCACCATCTAGCTCCTTGGACTGGTATTTTGAGATAATTCAAATTGTCATAAAAAAAGGCAGCTTACAGTAAATGTCAAAGCTTTTAGACGCCTCAGCTGCACATCCGTAACTTTGAGCTTTTCACACACTTTCCAGTTCTTTCCATCTGCAAAAGGTGGGTACAGGTAACCCTGAATCAAATGTTAATCTTTATCCTAGCATGGTTAATTAAAGCAAACAACCTCTGACGGGACACGTGGGCGGTGGCTTGATATGTTTATGAGGTGGAAAACAGGCTCAAGTGAGCTTGATAAGGAGAGCCTGTCATCAAATACTGGCTGACAACAAGTTGGATGAAGAAAAATATACAGTAAAAAATAAAGAATATGCAATATAGGTTCAAAAGCTGTTATTATAAGTGAGAGGACAAAGAGGAAAAAAAAAACTTTGGAAAAAGGACGCCGTCTTCAGATGGATTACTCGCTCTGTACACAGTGAGCTGCCAAAATAAGTGCCGAAGCCGTTTTGGCAGAACACTGAGCCATTTGCTAAGAAATACTTGCACTGTACTGCAAGGGAAGTTTCTTGAGTTGCTATGAAGTACTTTTGCTCCAGTGTCCTCACAAAACTTGCATTTCGAATTTTTTATTCTTGGCTATATGTATTAAAAACAATACCATCTTTGGTACCAAAGCTTATAGACACTCGATTATCCTTGTCCAAGTCATTATGCTCTAGTTTAACTATTGTTTTCAGCTATACAGGAGAATGACATAGTTACCAAGTGTCACTATGTAGCTGAATTTCCATCCTTTATCTGTTCATGCCTCTGGCTTATCCATGCTTCACGGTGAGTAGTACTTTACTGCGAAACGTGTATACGTAGTGCCTTTTTCTGGACTGTGAGCCTTTTGTTCATCGCCAACATAGATTAGATGGATTTGCATTTTAGGATTCCTCCAGTAGCATCTTCCTGAATACATTCCAGTGTCCTCTGTTTCATTATCGTTCAGCAGACCTCGGGCTTATGCGAGAGTGAATACCAATTACAGTTTTTCTTGGGAAAAATAAGTCATTGTGACATCCTAGCTATCCTCTTTGAATTTATTTGATTAGGCCATCAGTATGATATTGGCCTCTGTCTCAAAAATCAAGCCACGACTTCATTAAGAACATTAAAAAAGTTTTGATAGTTAGCTTAAAAGTCAATATAGCTGATGCACTTAACCTAACCACAACAGGTCCATAAGCTTTAAACACTGTATGTTTGACCTATACTGCAGCAAACCTGCATATCAATGCCACCATCCATTAGAAGGCCTGTCGTTGGCGCACACACTTCCTGCTTTGCCTATCTGCTGTGTGACATTTAAATCCTAACCGTACACCCTACGCTGTCATAGTTCTGCAGAGAGCACAGTGCGAGACATTGAAGAGACACGTTGACCATGGAGATCCTGCAGCTGCCTTTAGTTTGTGCTCTTATAATCAGTAGTCTCACATCAGCAACAGTTGTTCAAGATTTTAATCATGTGGAGAGATGCAAGGACTCCCTCTATATGGGGACTCCGCCGCGGGGTTTTGTCGACACCAAACTGAAGAAGATCTGCCAGCGATATGCTGACAAACCCCGTTATGTGACCTTGTACGATCCTTCTAAGAGGATCCCAGTTTACTCGGCTTATACCTTCAAGAAAACTGAGGGAGACAGACGTGTGGACTACCCCTGGATGTACGAGCCACAGGTTAGTGTTTCAAAAATACTTTTTTTTTCATTCATTAATCCTTGAATTTTAACCATTGCCTAATGAGATATTCCACACTTGTTAAAAAAGAAGCTTTCAAGGAAGCCAAAATTGGAAAGAAAAAGGGACATAAAGGCCTTGCATAAAGAACTTTTATTGGGTATCTTGTGCTATTTCTTGGCATGTTAAAGACTGCTTTAAGTTTTATTTCATTTCCCCAGCTGGCAGAGCTCGATGGCAATGGGAACATGTTGCCCTTCCCAACTGGCTACCTGCACATGAAGTTTGAGGACAGCCAGGCAGTGCTGGATGACTACTCTGATGTGGTTCTTTATGAAAGAGGTCACCTGAACCCAGACCAGCATCAGTCCAGTCCACACGACCGCGCTGCCACTTACACACTGACCAACGTGGTCCCAGAGATACGAGAGTTTAACATCGGGCCTTGGCGAGAGTACGAGGAGCGGATCCGGGTGCGCCTTAACAACTTCTGCCGTGGCACTGCCTACATTGTCACCGGAGTGACCACCAGGGGCAACATGATCCGTCGCAACAATCAGAACCGCGTGGCCATCCCCGAAGATGTGTGGTCTGCTTACTGCTGCACCGAGTATGACCGCAACGCGCCCCATGACGTTCGCGTTCTCTTCCCATCCCATGCAGCCCTAGCCAAAAACGCCAAAGAGGGCAACAGCATCCACGAGATGACAGTCCTGGAGCTTGAAATGTTTCTGAGAAATAACATCGAAGTCGACACCAACCTTCAGATCTTCTACGACAACTGTGTCTCTCCCTCACCCCTTCCTCTTTATCTGCAGCACACCATCTGAATGCTATCTCAGCTACATCCTCTGTGTGCATATGGGTTTATGTAGCCTAACAGCAGCCATTAACAATAATAAAAACAATGATAGCAGAAGTAAGGTAATTCAAATTTTGTCCTGCAAGATATTATCTAAGAAAGGAGTCCGTATCAGAATAAAATGAAATGTTCTTCATTCAATAAAAATGTTCTGGGTGATGGTTTTCAGGCTTTAGAGGAGGACTACTCTATTTAGAAAAGGATTGCAATACAGTTATGTAATCTTGTGTGGAAGGCTATGGGAATTGGCTCATTTAATAAATTGTCCTAATCTAATATCCCAAACTGAGTTTGTGTTGCTTTTGTGTAAAATACTAATCTTTGAACCCCACTTTCAAAAGTATATGGACACATTTGCGTAAAAAGTTTTCAATAAGGCTATCATTAACTTTGGCATTAATCTGGATGCAGATACATGAACTTTTCAAAAAGGATTCTTTACCCGAATCCTAACACTGAATACTGCATGTCATATCCAACTGCAATGAAAACAACTGGAATACATGATTTTGATGTTCTCAAGAATTATAACACAAATATCTGCTCCTGGACAGATCGCGGCACTCATTCATGGTGTAGAGGGAATTTTTCAGCTTTTGCAGAGGCATTCATTATCAGACTGCTCTTGTTTTAAAGCTGACAGCAAAAAGAATCAGAAATGTGCTTTCGGACATAAAGGCTCCTCTTACACTACAACAGCTGTCCACTGGAGTCATTTACTTGAAATTCTTGTAAAATGCCAAAGAAAGGGTGTTGTTAGATCAGAAATAGCCTCCCTGTGGTATATTGTGGAGCAAGTTTCATTGTCTGTCCAGATATAAAAACTGGATTTGACTTTTATGGGTGTCTGTTGGGTTTTAGTGTCTTTAATCGGTTAGTTAACCTACAAATAATAAAAGACTTTTGAATATATATATGTTTTTTTAAACCCACATTTGTAGTAAAGTTCTCAAATTGAAAACCAGAACTATAACAATCTAAATTTGATCATTCTGAGGACATTCAAAAAACAAGGCAATGCTCTGTCTTTGTGTTGGTAAAGATATCCTCGTACAAGATGCCCTTTAAAAAAAAAGTTTTGATGTGTTCTCTATAATTTCTAGCTCAATGCTGCCATCTAGTGTAGAGAAAAAAAACTTAGGGTTCAGAAAACATCATCCAAGTGAGTATATTCAGAGAGCAAAAGACCTGACATTACATTAATGTGCATCTAAACAGCTGTGATATGTATTTATGAATTATACTAAACCTTGTGGGGTGTATTCATTAAAGCAGTTGTTAAAGTATAAATAAGGATGTGGTGTTTGAGATAAAAGAAATGATGAAGATGATGTTTAGTAAACCTGTTAAATATATTGTATACCAGTTTGAGTTCTCAGGCTTTTCATTATGGAATTCCTATATATTGATCTAAAACTGTTGAACACGGAAGCCTGTACACAGCTGCAGGAAGCATTATGCGCAACAATGATCTGTCCTTTTTGTTTGTCCACTGTAAAGATTTCGAGGTGTTTCACTTACAGTGCCAAAAGTGGAATTGGAAAAAAGATGATCAGTTGATTGGAGAATAAATCTGACGGGGGAGATGTAAAAATAGGAGCAACAAGTTCTTAAACCATTTACTGACCACTGATACCAAAGAAATTTACCTTTGGCAAAGGAGGTTTTATTTTCACATAAGGACCTGAATGAATGGAAAGCGTTCCGCTAGCTTTATCCAACTAAAGTAGTGCATTAGTCTGGTGTATTTGCTGTAATAACAAATTATTGTGTACCAGCAGCTGAATAAACAGATGAGAGGACAGTTCCTAGCATGAAACCCTCACTGCCAAGTTATGCCAGGCTTTGAAATTAGAATTATTTGGATGTGAATGAACTGAACCACAATCAGAGCTCAGTTTGTGTTCATTCCTGTTTATTTAACATAATGATGAGTAGCCTTATACTTTTAAGAAGAAGGTTTCATCAGCTATTGATGGCGTGGTGAGACTGGAAGCATTACTGCAAAAATGAACCAGAGTTTTTTTTTCCCTCCAAATGGCAGACTAACAGTAGGACATTTCCACGAGGATCCGAATATTACACAGAGCCATATCTCTGCTTGATGAGCATTCTGCAAAACCAAGTCAGCGAAAGGCAATGGTTTTTACACCATGTGTGCTGGATAAGCATTGGTTTATCTACCAGAATGCACAGAATTAGCTGGAGCTCTAATTTTGGTGCATGTGTGGCACGGCTTGGCAGTGTTGTGGCAGAGCTAAAACATGTCAAAGAATTGTGTTTTATTTTTTGACTCGGGTACTATGCTGCCACACACTGTAATCTATCATAATGAAAATCTTCTTTGCAACTAAGAAGTAATATGATGGTTATGATAGTCTCATCATCATTATGTTTGAATAAAGCAGAAATCAGGGTTGAAGAAGGTAGAGGCTGTGTGATGTAGTTGGGGAATGAGAAATGAGCAGGGAGGGAGACACTGAAGGTTGGTTTTAAGGTATATGACGAATAAAGAGTCCTTAAAGTTGGAGACACTCCATTCTATGTCCCCAAGGGATGGGAAAAAGCACATTACCCTCTGAGGTGAAGTTAAATCAAGGCATATTGAAATGGCTCTAGGCACTTATTTGAGCAGTTATTTTGAAGCACATTTTTAAATGAACTTTGTCACAAACTGGACCACACAGGCACAACAGAAAAGGAGATGCACACAAATGCCAATTAACAAACTGCTCCTTTGAAATTAAAGAAAAAATGAACGAACTTCAACCAACCATGGTGAGTGATGTCAATACTGGCAATGATGTGAGTAGACATTCTACATATATAGAATTACCTGTCAAATCTTTTTCGAAAAATGCTTTTAAAAAATTAGCAGACTTCATCCTCTTCCCCTATTTGGTTTTATCCAAGTCTTACTTATCTTACTATCTAAAATTCTAAAAAGTGCTACTACTTTTCAATTCTTCTGCAGATTTCAATTAAGAATTCTATGAGTGCAACATCTCTCTCCTGCAATACCCCTGGCCAAGATCACTAACACTACAGTGTAGAAAGAGGACATCAGCATTATCAGGTGCAGTGGAAAACAGGACTGTCGTCAGTATGTGTCACAAATGACTCACTGGAGAGGCAGCTGAATGACACCGAGGACAGTTACACCACAGAACTGGCCACCCTGCAAGTACAAAAACACGAGACAGGGAAACAGAGTTGTGTCCAAAGTCTTTAAATAAAATACTTATGTAACCTTGAAACACCCTAAAGAAACTCAAGTAGTTTCTTGGTACCAGAAACAGAAAGGAAACAATGAACCAGAGTTTACACTCTGAAAAATATAGCTAAAAGAAGACATAAAATGCTAGGTGACTACAGATGAAAAACTAGCCGTACGCTAAACCTGATACAGGGTCACGAATGGTAATATTCATGTCCAATATAGATATATCATAATACAAATAGAATCAGAAAATAATGCTTTGCATAGTCACTTTGATAAGTTTAAAGAATACAATCAAAATGTTGGACTGGAAGAAGTGAGAAGGCAAAAGATAATGTTTTTAAGCACATTCCTTACATTCAAATTCATCTTAGATGTAGCTTTCTTACCAAACATACATTTGTTTTCTCCTGATTGAGTCCGTTAAAGATAAAATTATATTTATCCACCCTGGTCTTGTAGACAGTTCTTAAAACCTACAAATGACTGCAGGACCCAGGTGAAGTTATAGGGCATGTTTGACCTGTTCTATTTTATTGTTCTAGTGGGACAATACATGCCTTCAAAAACACTAGCAACTAACTCTGTAATTTTTTCCTTTCTTTATTTTTCTTGCCTTCTTAACCCCTTTTTGAAGTTTTACATTAGTCAGATTCTTTCCATTGTCAAATTCTTTCGGCAGGAGTTCTGCATCTGTTAGCAAACATTAAGTACTGTAAGCTAGAAACTGAGCTAGCTAGCATGAAACTAAGCTAGCTTACTAAATAACTACTAGCTAAATAGCTTTTTTTGGTTTCTTGTTTTTTTTTTTTACCAGACCAGAGGTTCTTGGCAGTGACTAAATCTGAAATCCAGGAATTAATTTTTACTCACTCTAACCATAGATGATCTAAAACATGGACGGAACTTTGAAGCTTTAGTTCAAAATATGAAGGCAAAGAGGAAGTGCTTTAAATTCGCATTTTATCTGAAGGTCAGCAGGTGGCTGTGGCTGCAAAAAAAGCTTCTGGTCCTTTCTATCTTGACTACTATAAACACCTTCCGGGCAAATTTATTGGCTCATTCATTCATTTTGGGTCAAACCAAATTAAAAACAAACAAACAAACAAAACTGCTCATGGTCTACTAATTTGTAAATCATAAACTGGAAGCCAATGAGAATGCAGATTTACAGTTACACCTGCCTGTCCTTGCCACATCCAATTATTTTTACAACAGTGGAAACAATAGCAGACATGCTTCTCTCCAGACTTCAAAATGGACTTCGGAAACTTCACATCAGAGTAACTAACATCTTTTTTACACTAAGGCTAAAATGACGCCATGTTTTGTCTTTCTGTAAATTAGAATTTGCCTGCTAATGCGATACTTAAATACTAGGAAGCCAAGTTGTGTTCACATGCTGCAGAATTCCTCTGCCACCCAGTGGCCAAACCACAAACACCTTTTTAGCAGTACAAACCCAGCCATGTCATAAAAGCGATGGCACAGCATTTGTTTAAGAATGTCTTTTAATGTTTTCCAGTTCAGATACACAACATACAGTGTGTAATAGCCTCTATTTGAAATAGAAATATTAACTTTAATTCTTTCAACCCCTTCTGGTCATTATGCTCTCTCACAGTCTCTTGAGCCTCAAGCAGGTTTTACTGAATCAAATGAAACAGACAAACAGGTGCAAGCCTTCACTTTACCTTTCTGGCATTAAATCTTATATAAGAAGAAGAAGATATTTGGATCGGTGTAATACTTTCTCCCCTTACCTTAAGCCAACATCAAAACTGTAGTGTAAACATGTAAACTTGGTGAGTGTGCTTCCGTTATCTGTTGGCTCGTCCAAATCCCTTGTTTCCAAAAAAGAAGGAAAAAAGAAAGAAGGAAAGAAAAACACACATTTTCTTATGCTGTGGCTAACTTAAACTCACTAACAAACAGCTGGATCAATAATCCCCAAAATTCAATGTGCAGACAAGATTGCAAAAAGGTAGCAAAACAACCACCGTGGTTACTAGAGTTTGAAATTAGACTAAAAGAATACAAAGGATTTCACAACTTCC